TGACACATTCATGCCAATTGCGGGTTTTTTTGCCTTTTCTTGTCTGTTAAAGTTTTTGCCATATGCATATGGATGATTATTTTTCCTATGATCTTGAATGGTGATCACATTTTAAAACACTTGATAAAGTACACTGCATCTATAAGTCTTACATTACCGAGCAGTCAGTTCTGCAGAATTTTATGCGATTCCGGATAAGGTAGTTTGCTTTTAATATTATCTATATATATTTGGAAAAAAACCGTTTTATTCTTTTAATGGCGGTATGCCTGACATCAGGCGGTCCTCAGGTACTGGTTCTAACACCGATTTCTCAGCCGGTACAACCCACTGCGAGCTTATCCGCGACAACGAACAATGCTGACGTACGTACAAATTGACTTTTTTTCACGTTAACCCTTTTTAAGCAGCAAGTGATGCAGTTGGACATGTAAAGAAAAACGGACAGCATCTTACATAATTTAAAACTTTTGATCACTTCGGCCACAACCAAATGTTAATTTTGCGCTGACTGGTCAATAATTCAATGACCACAACATTCATTAAGCAATTGGGCGGGGGAATAGATATTTATAGGGGCCCTACTTGTCAGTTTTGCCATTTTGTGCACTACAGACGTTTTCATTCAAGTATAGATTACAAAATGCGAGATCAGAGACAGTGTACCTTAGAACCGTTTTCTGGATCATCAGGCTGTCTTCAGGCGCAGGTTTATCAGCGTGCTTTTGTGAGAACGATGACGATTACACACAAGGCATTCATTTCTTTCAATTTCATTAGCTGCCTAGTTGCATTGGCCCGATGATAAATTTCTGAAAATATATTTACACTTAATTGACCCTTCCGTGAATTTAAAATTTCCTATCTTTTTGACGGCAAAAGGAACCAGACCTTCAAAAAGAACTCATGGCTGCTCACAACGAATTTCGTACAAAACGAGGTCAAAAGCCCCTCAGTGCCAACTTTGTGAGTGCTAATTGATAATCTTGCAGCATGCCTGTGCGTAAACACCCCGAAGTCACTGACACATAGAGGCTATGGCTTCCGACCATAGAACACTGACTAACTTTGGCTGAGGATTAGAATCAATTAAAAAGGGGAAGAGGAATCCAACTGTGTAACAGTTTACTGCAATAACGTCTGGATGAGATGATGCTCTCGATTTAACGACTGAAAACTAATCCACACGTCCCTACACAAGCTTTATTGTTGACTCTAACGTTAAACCTAACACTAATTTTACTGGAATTTAACGCAACGCCACCTGTATTAGGGGCAAGGACGAGGGCTCATAAGCAATTCCTACACTTAATTGCAACGCCAAATTACTGTAGCGTCCAGATGAGATGAAAATTATACATTCACTCACATGTGTAAGGTGATACTTTCTTACTTGAGACTAATTGGGTCATATCAAAAACGTTTTCTGTCCTCCAAATTTCGTAAGGAATTGAGTTGTTCGCTTTTGTATCACCCCACCCATATTAGGGACAGGGAGGATAGCAATCATCGCTCCTAATTGCAACGCTAAATAAGTGGACTTCCTTTATTTAAAATAGGTCTGTGCACCCTAGATGGGTTTTTGAAATGTAGTTGCAGTTAGATGCGGGCTGGATCCTATAAAATGTTTTCATCTGTCCTTCTGAATTTCTAGGAACTTGAGTCTTTGGGTCATAGAAGGCCCGCCTTCTTCGAGAATAATCTCAGCCTACTATCCCACCCTAATGCTGTTATCGTGTCCGCTGAGCCGGAGATTCGCATTGTGGTTGGTTTTCCATCTGGCAGCGAAAACATCCTCTTTTTCGACACAACGCTCACGTTTGATGATCAGGACTCTAGTGAACCCCCCGACAAAGACGTTCCTCTAATGTACGTCTTCTGAGTTATTTTATTTTCGATGATTCGGCAAGACCTCAAACAGCCCTTGCTGCCTATCAGAAAGGGTGCTTAGCATCTCACTTTTCTTAACAGGGATGATTTTCTAATGTAACCTATTCTACTGCTTGTTAGTTCAGTATGATTCAGTATATTAAGGGTAGTAGGCAATTCCTTTGAATATCCTTCTGAAAGCGATATACATAAAATGTCCAACATTAAATATGATACTATAAAATATTGAGTAACATATACACATGTTAATGTTTTTATCTGTTACTAAAACATAGTAAGTAACATAAAGCTTAGTCTTCTTGCGACATTTGTTTGGACGTGTCCAAGCTCGTCGTGCAACAGATCGTTATACATTTATCTACTATATATATGTTAGAGTAGGACGCTGACCGATACATGCAGGGAATATGCTCGTACCGTTGTCTGTTGGAGCTAAACCTAGAGCACTCAGATAGCGAATTTTAATAGGTAGTGGCGTAGAAAATGTTAACAGTTAACAGTAACTAAATAACAAAATTATATTATAGCAATGGGGTTGACCTGACCTTTTTATAATTGGGTGACATATGGTTCTTTATCCCATCATGATTTTTTGTGCGCGTTTAAGTTCGCTCCTGAGGAAATTGTATGTGGCATACATCTTTTACTTGATAACATTGCTTCCAGAAAAGTTCGGACTTTGTTGAATGGGCAAGTGCCATCACACCAC